TTAAATATAAAAATTACTTTGAGATAATGATTTGCTTTATTTTCTTGCTACAAATATTTTTGAAATTTAGTATTTTTAGTTTTCTTTTAAGCCACTACCAAAAAACTCCAATTGAGTCTCCAATTGATGGTTATACTATCATTGGCACAGCTTTTAATTCCTCCATGTTTCTTGTCAACATTGGGGGCTGGGGGAGGATTGGCTGGCCAGCCAGAGGGTGGGAGATCTGTGCTGCACTCCGGGAGGGCTGAGTATCCTCCCAGTGTGTGCTGCCACATTAGAATGCAACTGTCAGTCCCCTGCGCTCATTATTTGAGCCAACTCTGTAGTTTTGAGGCTGTTTTTATCTACACATCCTGCAGAAGGGGTGCTGGGCTCTTTCCCTACACCAGGCTCTTTCATTTGTAAGTCAGTTATTTCATGATTGATCAGGACTCTCTTCTGTTAATTCCTCAAAGGATGAGGGGAGGAGGTAACAATATATTCTGCAGAGTTGAAGAGTGTCCTGGCTGCTCAGGTGGTCCATGGTCATGGAGTTTTGGGGAGAGGCTGGGAACATCCTGTCAGGAAGGGTCCACTAAAGGAATTGAATTATCTACACAAATAGTTGTGGGGGCTGGTGGCAGGGACCCTAGAGGTTGCCTGGGTATTGAACTTGGGAAAAATCTTCAGATCACCCTGGGCTAGTCCCTAGCTTGACCGTGAGCAGCCCGAGGGTAGTATCTTACTACCCCAGGGGTTAGCAGAGTGCTCAGTGCATAGTAGGGGCTGGATACTTTTCTCTTAAAGCTATGAACTTTAAAAATTTTACATGTGTAGGGAAACCCAAACCCAAAGAGGCTTTCTGTCCAAGATCATAAAGCTAGCTTCAAGCTGAGACATAACTGTCAGCCTAGCCCTCCTGCTCCATTAGCCATAGCATGCCACCCCCTTCTTGGAATGTTTACTGAGCCTTTGTCAGCTAAGGGCAAGGGCTGTGGGCTCTCATAAAGCCCCTTCCCATATTTGGAATCATTTCCAATCTAGTGAGGAAGTTATGATAAATGTATAAAACCAGATAAAACACGTGCCAGTACTGACTTAATTGGACCTGGCTTCCAGGAATCATTAACATGGACACAGATAAACACATACAAACCTGCTCCTCCTACAGTTTTTCTTATCTCAGTAAAAGACCCCTCCCTGCCTTCAGTGGCTTAGGCTACCGGATCTTCCTAGGCTCCTTTCTTTCCCTCACATTCCACCTGTCAACAAATCCTGTTGGCTCCACCATCAAACATAACCAGACGCTGACCGCTTCCCACCACCCGTTGTGCCATCACCCCTCACCTGATGGCTGTACTAGCCCACCCTGTCCCCCTGCTTCCTCCTACAGCCTCCTTGAGACTTCGTTCAACACAGCAGTCAGAACAATCCAAGAAAGGTAGGTGGATAACATCACTGAGCCGCTAGACTCAGTTTAGGATGGAGACTTGGGGTAAGATCCGGAACTCACTTTAGCCTACATTCCAGTGTTTGCCTAGTTTTAAAAACAAATGCGCCACGCTAACACAAAAATCTCAGGTTCCAGAGGTCTCCAGGTGAGACTCATGGCCTCCCTTATCTATGAATCTGTATCCATCAAAATTTACTTATTTTTGGTAGTTCCATTTTCAAATGAAAAATTATAATATGGACTACATCTTTTCAAACTATATACCTTCCCTCACCTGGCCCCTCCCTTTTTTCAGGGAGATTCTGATATACATCTCTAGGGATCATTTATCCCATTGTGCATTGAAAATCCACCTAAAATAATGGGTGCTTCTTTAACTCTGCAGGCGGTGTGTTCTTGGTCTTGATGGAGTTGAGAAATATGTTAAATTTGGAAAAAAATATTGTCCGCTCCAAACAAAAGAATTTTATTAATGAGTAAAATTTATACATCTAAGGCTAAACTCTATCTCAAAAAGCAAATCAATAAAAAGCACAAAGGTTTTATTTGATAGTATGAAACAAATGAGATTTGGAATATAAGGCAGAAAACAGAATGACACTTGATAGGACTTTAGTTTTGAAAATTTTAGAATATTATGGGGGTACAAACATTTTGATTAGATGATTTGCTCTTGTGCAGTTTGTGCCCATCACCAAGGTAATGTGCATTGTACCCGTTAGATGTAAATTTACCTGTTCCCTCCTTTCCCCTCCCACCTACTTGGTTTCTGTTGAGTTTTATTAATACCACCATATGTGCACATGGGTGTTGATCCATTAGTTCCAATTTAATAGTGAGTACATGTGGTGTTTGTCCATTCTTGCAATACTTCGTGTAGAAGAATGGTTTTTAGTTTCCATCCAGGTTGTTACAAAAGGTTTGCCATTTTTTATGGCTGTGTAATATTCCATAGCATACATATACCACATTTTAGTAATCCACTCATTTATTGATGGACATTGGGTTGATTCTGCCTCTTTGCAATTGTGAATTGTGCTGCAATGAACATTCAAGTGCATGTGTCTTTTTGATAAAACTTTTTTTCCTTTGGGTAAATACCCAATAGTGGGATTGCTGGATCAAATGGTAGGTCTACTTTTAGTTCTTTGAGGTAACTCCATACTATTTTGTCTTTTTTTTATTTCGGCATATTATGGGGGTACAGATTTTAAGGTTTCAATAAATGCCCATTTCCCCCACTATTTTGTCTTTTAAAGAGATTTTTCATTTTTAATAACTTTGATTTACTTAGTACTCTATACTACTTTCCATAGAGGTTGTACTAGATTGCAGTCCTACCAACAGTGTGTAAGTGTATCCTTCTCTCCACATCTACACCAGCATTTGTTGTTTTGGGACTTTTTGATAAAAGCCATTCTCACTGGGATTAGGTGATATCCCATTGTGGTTTTGATTTGCATTTCCCTGATCAGTAGAGACTGAGCATTTTTTCATATGTTTATTGGCCATTAGTCTATCTTCTTTTGAAAAGGTTCTGTTTATATTTTTTGCCCATGTTTTTATGGAGCTGTTTTTTATTTTTGCTGATTTCTTTATACATTCTGGTTATCAGCCTTTATCGGATGTATAGCATGCAAATATTTTCTCCCATTCTGTAGGTTGTCTGTTCACTCTATTGCTTCCTTGGCTGTACAGAAGCTTTTGAGTTTAATCAAGTCCTATCTTAATTTTTGCTGTTACTGTGATTGCCTTTGGAATTTTCTTCATAAAAATTCTTTGTCTAGACTGATTATCTAGAAGAGTTTTTCCAATATTTTCTTCTAGAATTCTTATAGTTTCGTGTCTTAGGCTTAAGTCTATTATCCATCATGAATTAATTTTTGTGAGTGGTGAGAGGTCCAGATCCTATTTCAGTCTTCTACACGTAGCTATCCAATTTTCCCAGCACCGTTAATTGAATAGGGATTCTTTCCCCTAGTGTATGTTTTTGTCTGCTTTGTCAAAGATCAGATGGCAACAGGAGGATGGTTTTATATCTGGGTTCTCTGTTCTGATCCATAGGTCTATGTCTGTTTTTGTGCCAGGACTATGCTGTTTTGGTTACTACAGCCTTGTAGTATAGCTTGAAGTCTGGTAAAGTGATGCCTCCTGATTTGTTCTTATTGCTTAAAGTTGCTTTGGCCATTTGGGGTCTTTTCTGGTTCCATATGAAATATAGAATTATTTTTCCTAGATCTGCGAAAAACAACATTGGTATTTTAATGGGAATAGGGTTTAATTAAAAAAGTCACACCTTCTTTTCTGTCAATATAAATACAGGCATAAGCTCAAAGCGTGGTGGCAAATGGTGTCCCCAAACTAAGAAGTCAAATGGCAAGCCAAAGAATAAACCTTTTGGCTACAAAAGACCAAACCTCAGGTGAGGATGTGTATAAGGAATTAAGACCCAAGGTCTCTCTAAATGTTCATCAATTTATTTTCAAGTGTGTCATGTCTACCTGAGACAGATTATTCTCAGAAGGGTTTGCAGAGGTCGGCATTTGCCATTTACTTGTAGTAGTAGAAAACTGTATGCTGGCACTGCCAAGTTATGTCTTGTTTCTCATTCTTGTGTAATAAAGGGATTCTGCTTGGCCTCAGGTATCTCCCATTTTGGAATCATACAATTTGGAAACAGTAACTCAACTAAAATATGGCCTCCACTCCCTTAAAGAACTAGGTTGTTCATATCACAGACTAGAACCCTAAGTCTGATGTTTCTCACAAGTTCTATACATGGGCTAGTCTGAGAGGGATTCTGATGTGTCAATAAAAATAAGATCCTTAGAGATGCAGAACCCTATCCTTCCTCTTTATTAACTTTAAATTCCTCTGGAGTCACAGGTGCTGTGTTTTATAGGAAGTTTCCATAGGGATGCTAACAGTGTTGCTGAGGCACTAATGGGGAAGGATCCCAGCTTCTCTTGTTGGGGCACAAGTTACCCACTAACCTGGTATTGGTGCTGCAACATTATAGTTTCTACATAACTCCTCAAAATGGCAAAACATGGTCAAATTCTAACATCCTGAAGGATGATGCACTGAAGATCAAGCTACAGGGTAGGTTAATCTGCAGGGGTCAATGCAAGACCTGAGTAACCATAGGCTCTGATGTTGACTTTTTTTTTTTTCCAGGAGAGTAGAAAGTGGGATTCTTCAAAAAGTCAAACATAGGTTGGAAAACCCAGCTCTAAACTATTTACCCAGACAGGAGTGGAATATATTCCTCCACACCAGATGTGCATGGCTCTAGGGAATGATAGGCACCTACAAGGTACCCAAACCCCATAGGTCCTCAAAAAAAAATCTGTTGAATGAGCAAATAAACAAAAACATAGCCCATCGAAAATTGGCCTAGAAAAGTGCAAGGAAAGAATACCGAGCACTTTCCAGATTGCTTTGGTTTTCTTTGTTACTGGAGATTTCTCACTTCCATTATTCCCTTATGAATAGGCAAGGTATGATAATTTTAAACAGTAAGAAATACCTAAATCAGTGAGAAAGTAAGGTCTCACGAAAAATAGACAGGCTTCTTGTAGTTTATTTGAGTTATTTCCAAGCGACAGTTACAAAAGTTTTTAATTTTTATAATACTCTTGATAAGAAAATAAAATTTAAATAAAAATACATTCTCAACATACAACATGGTTACACAAATTCACTACATTAAGTTTTGATAACTTATATTTTCAAACTGGACACTGTAAAAACCAATATTTACTAGCAACATATTAATTTCCAAGTTAAAAAAATGAAAGCAGATAATATCAATCAAGATTCGTAATTTAACTCTAGAATGAGTCTTGTATTTTTCACATACTGTAAGGACACCTAAAAAGGCTATGCAGAATTCTGTCTTTACAGAATGTACCGTTAGGACAAATTAAAGGTGCTTTCACTTAAAAATAAGATCTGTTTTTCAAAACCTGGCATGAACATGCCTTTCTGATGAATGAAATCAGGTTTCAGAAAAAGAAACAAAAGCCACATCATTCGTCATGTTGTTTTGGTATAATAAAATGAAAAAGCCTAGTTTTGACTTAACCATTACCCGTGATATTAAAAACATATTTCTTTGGCAAATAAAACAGTTTAATTTGATAAATTATATTCCCGGGAGTAAAACCTTTGCTATTCCATCATCTTATTAAATGCATATTAAAAAAACAAAGCTAAACAAAAACAAAACAACAAAATAAGTGACAGATCATCACAATTTTTACTGATGGAAATGGCTAAACTAAGAATCAGAACTGTCATTTATGGCAAGCTTCCCCATATCATCCTTTTCTGTTCTTCCTGGGGTTTTCAGGTTTTTAGGGTGAAGTGAGCTGCCATGTATTTTTTTTAGATATGGAAAGGCAGAGTAGGCAGATCACGTAGTAAAAATCAAAGTATTCATGAGTAACAGCAGAGGAATGAGGTCCCTGGAAGCAAATTCCTTGATTATCTTAGGGTCCTACTGATATGGTGTCTTATTTCAAAAGACTTTCAAAGAAAATTAATTTAATTTCACATTACTTCTTTTCAGGCTGTGCCAAGCTGGTAAATTCCAGTCAAACTGGCTGCTTAAAAGCATCATGTGAAGAAAATAACTAGATGACTGAACTCTCCCCTTCGAATCCAGAGTTATGTATGCACACAGCCTTTGATCATGCCATGATCTTTAAAAACAATTGGGGATTTGGTATTTTAAATGTTAGAAGAATATTTCTTTTGCCTTAAAAAAACACAACAAAGGACTAAAAAACCACTAAAAAGGAATGATTAGTACTTGGTAATGCTCATATATCCTCTGCAGGCAGACATTTCAGAGACTCATAAAAGGAATTTTAATCTGAATGAAATTTGAGAATGAAAAATTTATTAAATGGCTAAATTCTTTCATATTTTGTAAATCAGTGTAGTTGATGAATCTACATGTGCATAAAATTTAAAAGATTCTTTCAAACTTGTCTTAAAAATGGGTCAGGAGTAATAATCTACCATAATGCAGACTAGTACTGATTCTTAAATATAACCAATTGGTTTTACAGTCATTTAGAGAAATACATTGCTTGGTTATAATCATTTATGGAACAACTTTGATTGTGTGCCAATAGTCTTTAAAATAATTACCTAATAAAAATATATTTTAATAACAATTACCCACCAATAACATAATTGGCAAAGTATATCTTGAAATATAGCTTATGCTCAGGGAAACAAAAAAGCACTACTAGCTAGACTTACATTAATAAGTCACAGTTTTAAACAGAAACATATGTAAATACTCCAAGGTTCAAAGTACCACATTTAGAAAATGTTTTGAATTAAAAAAGACAAAAAAAGAGTACCATGGTTTTTAATACTGATGAAGCAAAGTGTATCCCTCTTAGCTTCAAGGTGGCAACTTGCTTCGACTGCTTATATACAGTTATGTTTTTAGGATAAAAGTAAATTACTAGGGAAAAATAGTATTCAAATAGTTGCTTGCCCAAATTCCATTTGGCTAGCAGGCAATAAGGAAACAGCAATGAAATATAAACATTTTCAGGAAAGCATTATTTCTAGACTTAAACACTGATCATTCAACTGATCATAAAGATTAGATACCATGGAGTACCTAAAGTATAATCTGGGGCAGTCCAGATTATTAAAGTGCGCCGAGTGACTGTTCTCGAGTTAGATCACGACCTAACACTATGAGGAGGGCATCCTTATGGTGGCCCTTATTACAACATAAACTAGCAGGTGAAGTCAAGTGATTTTTCTACCACCTTCGTTCACTGTTTACTTTCTCTTCTTTTTCAGAAAAGATGTCCTTAGAAGTCATGTTAATCTGAACTCTCAAATCAAGAAAATGAGTACCTGATATTTAAAACAATGAAGAAAATTTAGTGGTCTCATTTTATTTCATCTGCCATCACTCATTCCAAATGTAAACAAGATGCACACAATAGCACATATTCCCTGATTCCTCGTATCTGAGTTCTGTTTACATCTATAAGTAGGCAAAAGGACCTACTAACTTTTAAGGATGCTCTGGCAGTTTTCTAAAGTTTTTGTAGCTATCTCTAATGTAACCTGTAATGATTGATGGACCAAAGGAAAAAAAAATTTTTTCTTTTCTTTTTTGAAATAAAGAGGGTCTAGATGAACTAAATGGAAAGCTCTGAATTGTCATGGATTGGGGTTTTCTAGTAAAACACAATGTTGGCAGTAGAGAGCAGGCACTAATGGTAGTGAAAACAGGTCCACGGAACAGAGTGTTACAAGAAGAGACAGTTTCTTGCTATGCAGGAGTTCTCCCTCTGTTACACAGCTTCTTTAGGAACCTTCTTTAGGAAGAGTCTTTCTATCAAAAACAAGTTGGAGAAAAATTGATCTGGACATACAAGGGAATCTTGGGCTTCAAATTCTCTAGTCATCTATAAATTCCAGGATTCCCAATTAATTTCAGTTATTAAATATTAAATACAATGTGAATGCAGGTGACATTGAAGCTAATGTTCATTCTTAAATACTATGAACAAAATATATGATGAATTTAAAAATACCAAGAAAAAGAATTATTTTCCAGTTCTTCTGAAGCAATTGGTCAAACTCTAGGATGTTTTCCCAACAATTGGATTTTCCCTAGAAAACAAGAAAATCATTTTTCAAAAGTTAAAAAATATGAAATTTTTAAAAATGACACATATAGAATCCATTAAGTATTTATAATTTTATCATGATATTCTCTCATGTCAAGTCTTGTTTCATTAATTCAATGAGTATTTACTGACCACCTATTGTATTTTAGGCACTATTCTATAAGTTAACGATACAACAGTAAACAAAACAGACAAAACCACTGCCATGATGGAAGTTACATCTTGGTACAGGGAAAATAAAGTCAGTAAAATATTTAGCACAAGAAAAGTTGGTATTTTTTCATAAAGAAAAAAAGTGGGAAGGGGTAGCGTAGGGGTATAGGGAGGAGGTACAATTTAAGGAGGATGGTCAAGTATTGACTAGGACCTCATGTGGAAACTTCCAAAGGCTCCAAGAAAAATGGATTACTATTCTTGGAAGAGAACCAATTATACTAATGTAGAGAACATGAGATTAGGATGCTTATAATATCCTTTCTAATGAACTGATCTTTCTATCCAGAAAAACATAAAAATTTATACTTGTTGAACTGATTTTTAATATTCATAAATAAAAAATATAGTTATTAATACCATACTTTTCAAAGAATATTTAAAGTGGTGAGGCCAGGATTTGGACCCCCCTCACTAATCAGCTGTAGGACCTTGGGCGAGGTATTTAACTCCCCTGAGCCTGAGTTTCTCTAGCTGTAAAGTGGGGATAAAATCACGCTGGGCTGATGTAAGGATCAATGAGAGAGTGTATATTGTGGAAAATAATGTTATTTGCTGGCTCAAGAACCATACCCTGACTATCCACTTCTTTACAAATAGGATCCTGATTCTCTTTTAATATGGGGAAGCCATGTTGTTTCGGGGGAGGCTGTGTCTAGAAACCTAGACAAGGTTTCTTTCTGCTAGTAAGGAGGAAACAGCCTTTTCTACCTCTGGACACTACCATATAAAAATGTGGGGCTTGGAACTACTGCAGTTTATCTGTGACTATCAGCAGACAAGCCTGAGAAAGACCAGAAATTAGCTTATTGAGGCAGGTGTTCCTTGATGACAGTGCTGAGCTGCTGAATTAACCAACTGCAGAAGTTAGGACTTAATTTGTGAGACTAAAAAATTTCTTATTGTTTAAGCCACTTCAATTGGGTCTTTGTTACTTGCTGCTGAAAGCAGTCTAAATGATATGATGCAAAGTACTAGGCATAGTGTCCCGAGGGGGGATAGGCTCCCAATAAATGTTAGCTGTTGCTGTTGTTATCCATTGTAGCATCATCCATCTACATATGAAGTGGATCCAAAAAATCAACTATGAAATACTTGAAGCATTCTCACAATTGGCTTTTTAAAGTACTTACTATGTATAAGCCATTGTGGGAGATATAAAGGAGGAGGATCAGTTAAAAACAAAATAAAAACAATAAACTACTAGTTATTCAAGAAATATGACATTAAAAGTGGTGATAAAAGTACAGCACCAACACAATGAACTAAAAAAGACAAAGCATGCTTTGAGTTTCAGTGACCAACTTGCATAAGAGAAAGGATCTGAGCCAGGTCTTGGCAGGTGATGGTGGACAGGAGGCCTGCAGGGCAGGGGTGAAGACAGGGCAGGAGAGGCAATCTCAAACTCTGTTTAAAAATATGTTTATAGTAGCTTAAAAACTACTTACTTGCTCCCATATTTTGCACTACTTGATCTTTTCTTCCTATACTTTTCATGAGGTTCATCCAGCTTCTCTATTATGCTTTTTATTTGCTGAATTGTCTTGAAGGTTGTTACAGAATCCTCAATTACAAAGTTAGAATAATCATCAGGCTCTTTCTGTGGTCCTTGATAGACTGCTATTGTTCCACAAGCCTCTACAAGAAGCAGTAAAATCTCTGATCAAACAATCAAATTCTATAAATGCAATTTGTAGTACAAATAAGAATTTTTCAAGTGTTTCATGCTGGAGAGATTTCCCTTGGCAGTACATAAATAACTAAAATACATAGATTTTATTAATCAGAATAATCAAATTTATGCAAAAATACTATTTTTCATTTATACATATCCATGAAAAATACCCCCATTGGGGGTTTATCAACTTTCATATACACGATATTTTGGTAAATCTGTATTTTCAACTTTTTAAAAATGCCAAAGCAATACTTCAGGAATTGGTAGTGAAAGATTATGGTTATATAAAAATAGATAAGTTGTGCATTTACCTTCCATCTTTTGCAGCTTAAGTAAACTGAGGGTAAAAAGGGAATAAATTCTTTCTGTTTCTCTGTCTTCATCAATATCTATTTGGATGTCTGCAGGGACTCCTCTATGGTAAAAATAAAATCAAAGACATTGGAAAAATTTTACTTTGTTAATATGCGAAAGACTTTTGATGGTTTGAGACTAAAAACAGAATCCCAGAATTTTGAAAAAGGAAGTTCAGAAATTTAGTTTCATCGGACAGTTAAATAAACTGGGGCCAAGAGAGGTTTGGTCATTATGTGACTATTCATAAGGAGGGGAATTTTAAAATAAAATCATTTTCATTATGAACCAATGCTTCATTACAAAAACAATACATCATTACTTATGTCTACGGGGCTATAAAGTTTGTTCTATACAATTAGAAATACAATGTTAAGGACCCTTTTTCCTTGATGTCTTGCTCAAGCTTGTGCTGCTATTTAAACATTGCCTTTTTAATTTTGTTTCAAATTTGTACAACTACTAGTACTTTCAGAACATTTTCATCATCTTCAAAAGAAACCCTGTATCCATTTGCACTCCCCATTTCTCCCTCCCTCCTGCCCCTAGCAACGCTGATCTACTTTTTATAGTCTCTATAAATTTACCTATTCTGGACACTTTATATAAATGTGATCACATATGGCCTTTATGTCTGCCTTCTTTGACTTAGCATGTTTTCAAGGTTCATTCATGTTGTAGCATGTAACGGTACTTCATTCCTCTTTATGGCCAATTAATATTCCATTGTATGGATATACCACATTTCGAAACATTGCTTTTTTGATCAGAAAGAAACTTACGCAGTACATGGCTTGCAGCCGAGAGTGTTTTCGCTGGTCTCCTGACAGCAGAGCCAGTTTCCGTTTATGTATGCAGAGGGATGATAAAAACTGAGCCTGTTTTGATTGCACCGGCTGACCCTGCAGAGCACGTCTATCCATTCATTAGCTTCTACACAATTATTTGCCTGGACATAGAGCGGTTTCTCTGCATGTATTACTTGGAACATCTTCATAAGGCAATTAAGATAAAAAGTTAGTGACAGAGTCTAAAAACCACAAGAAAACACAAAAGTATGTAACAGAAATCTAGTTTGCTTGACTAGATAACTGCTAAGGTACCTTATGAATTATTACTTTTCAAGCAAGTTAGTCCCAAAGACAATCTAAGTGACATGGTACTAAGCAGCACAACAGAACATAATTTTTAGAAGCTACACATGTCCAAAGAAATGGACTATCATATAATAAATAAGAATAAAGGGAAGGAATTTCAGATGGAAGAAGTATGAACAAAGGTAAAGCACTGGGAAAGCAGAGGAAAGAAAATCATCTTGACTGGCTTGAGTGTATGGTGTGTATTGAATGGTAGCAGAAGACAAAACTAGAGAGATAGGCTGGAATTACTTAGAGACCTGAATGTTATGTAGAGAAGTCTGTTAACAGGAAAGTATTGAGAAAAGTATTTTTAACTTAATAAACAAGGTAGACAGTATGAAGCATCAACTATAATGGACAATTTTAAGGCAGAATTTGAGCCAGCAATTTTAATAAACTGTTTATGATTAATGGTTAACACTAAAACAACCTCTTGAAAATTTTCAATTAATGTATGCAATGCAGAAAGCTTTAAATATTTACTTATATAACTTACATTTTTCTTGTTGAAAGAGCTCTCTTCCAGTTTTTCCACAGCAAGAATGTTTTTTACTGGAATTGTGTAAATTGCATCTTTGCCTAAATAATAAAAGAAGTAGAACAAAATTAAAATAATTTCCATCAGATTTATAAAGATGAGAGGTTAATTCTGAAAGGTTTAAGCTAATCCTCTTGATGGCAGAAGTACAAATAATCTAAAGTAGATTTCCAGACGATGTGTATACAAATATTTTTTGTTTTATGGAACAGATAAATTTTGATTATTTTCTATAAAGTGACTTCCTTTTTACTTTTTGCAACATAAATTCAAATATTTTCAAGAAAAATGTGGAACTAAATTTGATCCCTATGTAGAAAATAACAATGTTATAAAAATTTTGTAACATTAATTATATAGGGACTTAGAAAAATAATATACTTAGAGGATTATTCAAAATTTGCCAAGATATGGAATTTTCTTTCATGGAGTTATTACATAAGCAGTAAATATGACTGCCTAAGTCAATTTTTCTATTTTTCTAACCTAATATTTAATTAAGGGATCAATTCTCAAAATAATGTTTCTAAATTAAAAAATTATTCATTATTATCACATATTGGTTGGTCAGCTGACTGAAGCTACAAAATTTACTCTAAGAGATGCAGGCAACAAAGTAAAAACATTATTTGCTAGTGTGAATCCTTAATCTATGAGTTTAGAAATCTGGTTAAGGAAATTTGAGTTTGCTAAAGGAGCTCCATAATAATATGGTATAAAAATATGATGTACTTCAACTTATAATTTACCTGAGAAATAACATTAATATATTTCATATAGTCATAGAAACTATAAGCAAACATAACTGACTTCTAGTCCTTTTGTAATGTCGTTCTTAGAAAAATCAAGTTTTGCTTTTATTTCCCCCTAAGCTTTGACTTAATGACATGTGAACTAAAGTGCCAGAGGTTAAGAACATCACATTTTTTTTTTAACAGACAGTATCTCACTCTGTTGTCCAGGCTGCAGTGCAGTGGCATGATCATAACTCACTGCAGTCTCGAACTCCTGGGCTCAAGCAATCTTCTTGCTTCAGTCTGAGTAGCTAGGACTATAGGAGTGCACCACCATGCCCATCTAATTTTTTAATTTTTTGGTAGCAACAGGGTCTTGCTATGTTGCCTAGGCTGGCCTCGAATTCCTGGCTTGAAGTGATCCTTCTGCCTCAGCCTCCCAAAGTGCTGGGATTACAAGTGTGAATGCCTGGCTAGAACTTTGCATTTTATATTATTGAACCAATTAATATATAGCTTTTTTGGCAAAGAAAACTATTTGGTTAATAAAGGTTTCTTTTTGTCTTGAATAGAGATGTTAACAGAATATTTACTAAGCATGGTTTCTGGTATAATATCTAAAATTTATGTAATTCAAGCAGATGGGATATATAATTTTTTAAAAAAGATAAAGTCACTTAATTCAACTGTCATATATTGAATGTCCACTCTATACTAGGCACTGTTGTAACTACATATGATATAGCAGTAAACAGAACACATAAGGGCATGCATTTAGGTCTCAAAAGACTGACAAAAGACAAATAAATATTAAATAGAGATGAACACTACAATGAAAATAAACTGGGGTGGCAAGATAAAAAACAATTGGGAAGTTATTTTAAATTGTGTTGACTAGAAAAAAACTTTCTGAGGACACATTTACATTCAACAGATATCAATCATGAATGCATAGGAAAATTAAAAAAGACCATCAGCAATTTCTTGAAAGCAGACAAGATGACATTTACGGGGATGGCAGATAGGAGGGTGGGGCAGGGAGGGAGTAACTGAAGAAGCCACAGTCCAAGCCAGATGTAGGATAAGATATCTGCAAAAGTAGGAGTGGTTAGGGGAGAGCTTCAAGCCAGAGCCAGTGGATTTCAGACAGCTGGAGGTTGGGGAAACTCAGATATACATCAGGATAATTAATCAGTGAGCTACATCTGGAAGAGCTGGGTCAATCAGGCCCTCCCTGCTCTTTGATTTGTGCTAAGCAGCAGTCAGGGGCATGTCTTTGCAGGCTCAAGCAGAAGGATGCACACTGGGCTGCGGAGCGGTGCAATGTCACAGGTAGCTGCTGACCCTAGGAGGGAAGCAGAGAGTACCCACACCAGAAGGCAAGCATCAGTACCTCTGCCCCTGCCTCATAAGCACTTGTGGTAAGCTACTGAGCACTCAAGTAGGTGACTGGATTGATTGTAAAACACGAGGATGAGCAAATCACCAAAAAAATCACCAGTTAGGGAAAATCAGCACCCTAAAGGAGTGCAACAAAAAGGATAACATCTGAGGAAATCAGGAGCATAATGAATCAAGCAGCAGGAGGGACATAATCTTTGGGTACTGATCTCTAAGAGTACCACAAAGATTCTAGTCAGAGAATTTTAACATTTTGCAGAGAGTTTCTATTTTTAGATTTGCTGAATACACAAAGCATGCCCATACCCTAAAATTTCTACATTTATTCATTTCTGGACAAATTATAACAGCATATGTAGACAAAGTACACTGCTTCCAGGGATATACACTGTTATTATATCATTAGGGCTAATTTCATAGTTAATAGTGTTAACAGGAATAAAGTGCAACATGAATTAGTAAAATGAAAGATTTTACTGAGTAGTTTCCAAAAATACAGTACATAAGATCAAAGAAATATAAAGTAAAAGAACAGTTAAGAGCCACGGTGGATGGATATAGAAGTTCCAGTACCTGACTACTAAGAATTGAAAAAACAGAATAGAAAGACTGTTCCAGAGAAAATTACAGATGAAAATGTCCCTGAGATAAAGGCAGAAATCTTCAGATTGAAGGTTATCTACCTAGTACTGAGCAGGATGGGAGAAAAAAGACAAATATTTAAATAGTGCGCAGTAACACATTAGGACTTGAAGGCTAAAGAGAGTCCTAAGAGTTTCTATAGAGAAGAATCAAAAGACTGAAAATCAGATTAACATCAAATTCTCATCAGCAGCAATGGAAACTAATAAAAAATATAGTAGTATCTTCAAAGTTCTGAAGGAAAATGATTTTTAAATCCAGTCTAAAGAAACAAATCCAGTCTAACTATCAAGAGTAAGGATAAAATAAAGACATTTTTGTATTAACATATACAAGGACTTATAAAATTTATTGGCCACAAAAGCTATCTGAAATCGTTCCTTGAGGAAGTACTCCTGCAAAATAATAATGAATCCAGGAAAAAAACAGATGAATCATATAAGAAACAGTGGTGGGCAAAGAAATCAGGAAAATTGATAGGCAAGGATATAAAATCATTAGACAGCATAATGTAAAAGGTAAAAGAAACAAGAGAACCAAATATTAAAATTCCAGATGATTTCATTAGGGAGATGCAAAGAAAAGAATGATTCAAAAGCATGCTAATGTTCTTTCCCAGCTTGAATGGAGACTTGGATTAACTGTGGACATTAAGATAAACATGTAAGTTTAAATTCATCTGTCAACAATTCAAGAGTAGAAATAGGATGTCCAAATTCCCTCACAAGATAAAGACAGAGAGAGAGTGTGAGCATACACACATGCTTAATTATTCCAATACGAAGCAAGGAAAGAAAAAATAAATCCAGAAAACAGAAAAGCCTAGTAAATAGAAAACACAAAACAAAGTAGTAATCACAACAAATGTGAGTGCATTAAATTGCCCTATTAAATGACTGAAATCAGGTTGCAGTTAAAATTGTCATTACCTCTCAAAAAGTTAAACAGAATTACCATATTAACTCACAGATTCCACTCCTAGGTATACAGTCTTGAGAAGCGAAGACATATGTCTGCACAAAAACTTGTAAATAAATGAATGTTCACAACAGCATTATTCATAATAGCCCAAAACTGATAACAACCTAAATTCATCCAACTGATGAACGGATAAACAAAATGTAGTCTATCCATCCAATAGAATATTATTCAATGCAAAAGGATAAAGTACTGATTTATGCTACCACGTGAACAAACCTCCAAAACATTATGCTGAAAGAAGCCAGTCATAAAAGGTTAAACTGTATGATTCCATTTATGTGAAATGCCCACAAGAGGCAAATCCATATAAGACAGAAAGTAGATTATTGGTTGCCAAGGGGCTGGGAAAAGGAAGGAATGGGGAGTGAGTGTTAATGGGTATAGGGTTTCTTTTTGGAGGTGATGAAAATGTTCTGGAATTAGTGGCAATTAAACAACCTTGTGAATATACTGAAAAACCAATAAACTGTACACTTTAAAAGGGTGACTGTTATGGTATGTGAATTATGTCTCAATTATATCTCAATTTAAAAAAAATATTATTACCACCACAACAAAAACAGAAGTCCAGCTGGCTCCAAGGGACACAGCTAAAATAAAACTATCATGATCCTATTTTTTTTCCCCCCTGACACGGTCTTGCTTTGTTGCCCAGATTAGAGTGCAGTGGCATTATCATAGCTCACTGCAACCTCAAACTTCTGGGCTCTGATTCTCCCACCTCGGCCTCCAAGAGTACTAGGATTACAGGCGTGAGCCACATATAACTCATTTTAATCCTTTATTTTCTTTTAAAAATTGCTTTAATCAGGTAAATGTATATTTGACACATCATAAAGTTCATCCATTTCAAATGTACAATTGAATGTTTTTTGTAACTCTACTGAGTGGTGCACCCATCACCATAAATCAGTTTTAGAACAGCTTTGTTCCCCCCAAAAGATCCCTCATGCTCATTATAGTTAATCCTAGTTTTCATCTCCAGTCCTGAGCAGCCACTAATCTACATTCTGTCTCTATTAACTTTGCCTTTTCTGGCATTTCATATAAATGGAATCATATAGTATGCGATCTCTTGGGTCTGACTTCTTTCACTCAGTGTAATTTTCAGAGGTTCATCCATGATGCAGCATGTATCAGTAGTTTCTTCTTTATGGCTAATAGTGTTCTATTGTGTGGACACACCACATTTTGTTTATCCATTCACCAGCTGATGGACATTTAGGTTGTTTCTAGTTTTTGGCTATTATGAATAATGCTGTTATGAACATTCATTGTAAGTC